CCCGCCCAAACAGCAAAACATAAACACGCCTCAGCCTCTTCCCCCATCCCTCCACGGCAGAATCCGATTTTCAGCAAGAAACACACTCCCACCCAAACAGCGCTGTTTGGGCCGGGAGCACGTTTTTTTGTTGCTGTTTGTGCGGGTGGGCGCGTTTACTGTTTGGCCGGGGGGGGTGGGGGGGATGATTTTTTGCTGTTTGGGCGGTGAGGTGTGTATGTTTTTTGCTGTTTGGGCGGGGGTCGTTTCTTCTTTTTTTGCTGTTTGGGCGGATGGGCGTGTTGATTTTTTTGCTGTTTGGGCGGGCGGGGGAATGTTTTTTTTGCTGTTTGGGCGTCGAGGTGTGTATTTTTTTTGCTGTTTGGGCGGGGTCGGGTCGTGTTGTTTTCGCAGTTTGGGGGGAGGGGGGGGGACGGGAGTTCACTCACTTGCCGGTCTGCCTGGCTCGTCTTTGATGGGCTCAACAACAAAAAAGACCACACAGCAATAAAAAACACGGGGTTCCCTTGCAATGATATACAGGCTGTTAAACATATAATCTGAGGGTAAAAAAGGACATCGACAAGTGGCTAACCTTTACGAAGCTTGTTGCAGAGCCCTACACTTTTAACCCCAATATAACCACTACATAGCCCCCTATAGAATACAGTAGTTTCCACTTTCCTTTCCAGGATCCCGATATAACCCCCATGTAAAGACCTAAACCCAAAGCATAAACCGATTAAAGTAAAGCCAGATAGAAGATCCGATGAAGCCCCTGGGCCCAAAATCCCAAGCCCTATAAATCATGCAGCCTCTAAATCTTAAACGCTACCTAGACCTCAAAAAGTATGCATAATAATGGCCTTTTGCCTGTTTCTGGAGGTTTTGGGCCATTCTTTTACCTGGGTTTGGGGCAATCCTGGACTCTAAGTCCTAAAGCCTTCATGCCACCCTGCAGGCTCACCCCTAAATCTCCAAACCTTACACGAGGAATCCAGGTATACAAATAAGAATAATACCTACGCATCTCACCTACAATTGGGCTATTTTGATCCTTACTGCTACACCCTAAACCCGCAATCTTGTCATTAGGAGCCCGACGCTACGAGCTTTGCTCGCTCAAGTGCCAGTTGTCCAAGCTCACTGCTTGCAACTGCCTGCCCAACAGAACACCCTAAGCGTCCAAGTACCCAAAACCTGTACTAGGATTGTTATTACCCAAATCCCAAGTACCTAAAGATTCGGAACTTGGGCGCTTAAACCCTAAACCCTATATACCCTTAGATTCCCCCTATATGTGCCTCTACATTCCCTTTAAAAGGGACCTAAATATTGGGTACTTGGACCCTTAGGGACAGCTTTTTAAAGATTTTGGGCCTTTTTGAAGATCAGGTCAGATTCAAGTTTTCCCAAGTCGGAAAGGCAAGGCACACCTCAGGAAGGAACATCATCATGCAATTTAGAGTTCAGGGTTTCGGGTTTAGGATTTAGGGTTTAGGGTTTAGGATTTCGGGTTCAGGATTTAGGATTTAGGGTTTTCAGCCTGGCAGTTGCCCAACCAAGTGGCTATGCAAGCACATGATCCCTGCACAGATCCATCCCTGCACGCGCAGCCTGAATATCAGCTCTTTACATATTCCAGCAGTTGTGCTAGTCATGCTCAGTTGGAAATGGGGAATGGATCCCAAATATAGGGGCTCAAAACAAACGTAAGCAAACAGAAAGATAGAAATATGGAAATTAAAGCCCCTCATAATCAGCCTCAAGAAGGTACATGTATCAGTCAGAAAGCTTAAGTACTTCTTGGCTTCTAAAACTCTTATCCAGGGTTTAAGGTTTAGGGGTTACCTAGGGTTTAGAGTTATCCTGAACCCTGAAGGCATAACCCTAAGGCTCCCAGTTACCTAAATAATGGGAACAGCCTTCTATATACCCTATTACCCTACAGTTACATATAGTCCCCCTTAAGCAGATAGAATATTGCTTTGGGTATCTTATACTAAGATCCCCATATACCCCATACTCTATCTACTTAAGGGGGACTATAACCCTAAACCCTAAACCCTATATTCTATCTACTTAAGGGGGACTATAGCCCAGTAACCTACTATTCAGATCACCAGGAGGCCCGAAAAGAATTGGTCTTCCAGCCTCTGTCAGCTCACGGAATGTGATGGCAACTCGAGGTCCACAAATATCCTTTTGTGTCTGGGTTTAGGGTTTAGGGTGTCTAACCCAATGGGTGTTTAGGGTTTAGGGTTTGGGGTCCATGGGAAATATACTGGGATAATGGAAAAGAAAATGAAAACAATTATTTTGGGTTTTGGGTTTCGGGTTTAGGAGGTCTAGTCCCCCCTTAAGTAGATAGAATATGGGGTATGTGGGGATCTTCTTATAAAATAACCAAAGCCATATCCTATCTACTACATAGGGTTTAGCGTACGGAATAAGGAAATAATGTTGGGCTCTCTTTAATCCCTCCCCTCACAATCGGGCCACCAGAAAAATAAAATGAAGGGACTCTGAATAAGGACCCAAAATCTCTGTCTCAGGTAGCAAGGGTCTGGTGACTAAATCATAAAGGATTTAACTTTGAAAGCCTTCCTACATTTTTAGGGCCCCAAAATCAAAACCAAAACACATTAAAGAGGGTTCTTCCCAACAATGGCCAGACCCTGAATAAGCGGCGGCGAAAACAGATTAGACAGGGTCTCTTCACAAAAGTGATTGTAACATTATCATACGTTGGGATAACATGGGGGTTATACTGCTTCTTCCCTAGTGTTGATGGGTGAAATCTTGCACCACCTAGGGGCCCTAAACTACTGTAATTCCTAGGCCTTTAGGGACTTTAAGTGGTGCAAGATTTCCTCCAACAACTGTATTAACCAAGAGTACGTTGTGTGCTTTGCAGACATTCGTGGGGTTTATCAGAACCATTGGTGTTTCTTGGACGAAGGACTTTACTAATTTGGGGTACAAAGTGGACCCTCATTTTGAAAAACAAATTTTTAGCAGGAGATCTACATCCTGTTAGGACCATTCAGGAGAGTGGGACAGGGGAGAGAAAGAAGAAGCGAACGAGAGATGAACGCAGAAGGGGCGAGAGAGTGGGGCAGTTCGGGAGGTGAAATCCGCAAACCAATGAGCGACTGAAGTCTCCTCGGCTAGCAGTCCATGTTGCCAATCGACTCGCACCCGACCACTGATCAAGTACCTGAACTGTATCTAAGGCAAAGACTTGTTCCACTCCCGCGTCTCTACCCGAATCTCTCGCATTACGACCCGTTTTGGCGCCTTCTACCCTACGAGCGCGAACATACCATGCCCAGAATAGAGTGCAGTGTCCAATGTCCAGCCCATCCGCTGCTCCACACACAGTTTGCAAAAAAAGACTCAGGAGCTGTTCCATTTCAGTGGGGCGAAGGCAGGGTGATAATATAGGTCGAAAGGAAATGTGACAAATGGTGCTGCTGTGTGCTTAGGCACACAAAAGGTGATGGTCAATCTCCTGACTATTCGAGCATCTGACTGTGCTTACGTTTAAAAGGTTCAGGTCGAGATGAAAACGCAACAGATGATGTTCGTGGGAGATGACTGGCAGCATGTTCTCGCTTTGCTTCAAAAGTCTAGCGCTCATGAGCATGGATCTGACAATCAAAACTCCTCTTCAGCGTCGGCTACTGGAGGGATTGCGGGACTCTGTAAGCAAACGGCGATAGAAGTCGTAAATGGTGTAAGAATACTCAAATACCCGATGTCCCCGAAGTATCCTTGTGATGTTACAGCTCCGGATCTTCAACCCTAAACCCTATTGCAACTTCTTGAGCTCTGAGGTTAGCTCCTGCAAGGTGTCACCTGCCCTGGACAATGCGGGAACCATGGTAGCTGCTTCTTTGTATTAAAGCTAGCCAAAAATGTGCCGAACTCCCAAAACAAGACTGCTGCTTGTTTGTATAATAGCTTGGGCACTGCCCCCACCGGTTCACATTGGGGTTTAGGGTTTAGGGTTGGGGCTTCAATGAGCTTATATCCAGCCGTTACGGGGACAGCCTTGATTTAGAAACCTTCAGTGTCCAAGTACCAAGAACCGTATGCTTCCCCAAGAAAGCCATACCACAATTCTTAGTAACAAAACCTAAAGGCAATATGTTCCGGATGCTCTAAACCTTGTAAACCCTAAGTCTTCCCCAAAATCCTAAACCTTAAAGCCTCACACCCGACACCCCAAGGACAACTATGGGCGCACGCCGATCGCCTTGGCAGCGGGACTCTGACAGCAACCTGCCAAGATACCAGCTACGTAATATAGAGGCCAGAGGCCTGAAGCGCTATGTAAGGATGATATAGGGTTCAGGGTTCAGGGATCAGGGTTTAGGGTTTAGGGTTTATATGGTGTTTCCCAAATTAGGGGTACCCTTTTGGGGGTTCCCATAACTAGGGCTGTGGTTTTGGGGAACTATATTGGGGTTCCCCTATTTAGGGAACGCCCATGTAAGGAAGACATAAAGTTTATGTAGGGGCTTAAGGGATTAGGTGTGTAGAGGCCTAAATCATTACCAACATCATTACGAGGTCTATTTGCACCATGATATTGGAAATTACTTAGGCGCCTACTTTATGGGTCTTGCGCTGGACTCATGCTTGGGAAAAGCATTCCAGCCCGCGTGCTCAGATTCGCTGAGTTATCAGCGTTAAAGAGATGGACATGTCTGGTGGGGGGCGGGGGGCGGGGGGTGGGGAGGGGGCAGGGCACTAGCAGTCAGAATAGGACCATGGGACATTCTTGTAGGCTGCAATGTATCATGACTTCCAAGTCACAATGATTCCTAAGCACCCCTTCATCCCCCATGCAAGCTCAAACCCTAAAAACAAATAAGCTAAACCCTACAGAAGGCCTTAACCTTAGCTGTATGTTCAACCCTAGCCCCTGCCTCATTCACTGGGTCGTAGAAGGTGAAGACCTGACACTGTAAAGCACCAAGTCTTTGCTCAAGAATGCCCAGCCATCATTGAAATGGTAGGGTTTCCTACCCTAGATACTTGGGGATTCTAGGGTTTTATAAGGGTGGTCATTAGGGCCCTAAACCTTAAACCCTAAACCCTAGACCCCAAACCTAAACCCTAAACCCTGTCTTTGAGGAACTCCCAGGTTCAGGTTGTAAGAGAAGCCAGCAGTTACGAGACCAAACAGGGCCTGAGGAGTGATGATCAAGAAGTGCTTAAGGTTTAGGGATCAGGGTTTAGGGTTTAGGGTGTAGGGTTTAGGGATTAGGGTTTAGGGTTTAGGGATTTGGGTTTAGGGATTTTGAGTTTCCCCAAATTTGGCGTACTTTTGGGGGAAAGCATTATGGTACTTTGGGGTCTATGTTGGGGTCGGGGCCTCCGCGTTGGTTTGGAGGAGGCCACGTCCAAAAAAACCCAAACCCCCAAACCCTAAACCCTAAAACCCTAAACCCATTACCGGCCTCACTTCCTGAAGGGATGCCAGTAGAGAATTGCGTGCGTTTGGCTCTACAACGACGACAAGCCCTTACGCAGGGTTCCATGTTTTCTTGGGAGTGGCATCTAAACAAACGACCTTCTACATCACCAAACGCACTGGACTTTTCCATAGAAACCCTCTGGGAAGTAACCGGCGGCTTGGAGCAACCTCCACTCTCTGGGCAAAGCTGTTTGGTCCAGCTTCGGATCCTTGTTTGAGACGCGTGTGTGATGAACGGAGTACCCTCATACCCTACCCACCTGAATCGTAAACCCTAAACCTTGAACCCTACTCACCGGAACCTTGGGTCCTGGAACTTGAGAAGTACCCCCTGAAACCTTCAACTAAAAAACTCTGTCCTGATCCTAACCCCCTAGCACAGAGTGAACCCTAGAAGCTTAACCCCCTTTTAGGAGCTCCTCGAGCGCGTAGTGTATTGGCCTTTTTGAGGGCCCCTAATTAATAAATTATGGAATCTCCCAGACAACTCTTGTAGCAACGTTATAAAATGCCCTGAATATTACCCCTTCAAGTCGTGTAGACTGTCAGTAAGTGGGGGCAGCATCTAATGAAACCACAACACCACCGCTATTACATAACCCCAGTTTCCATTTCATCTTTCATTCGCTTCCCCGTTACTATACCCACAATACCCCAAAGCCTACATATTGCAGCCTAAAGCTTAGAAGTCCCTGTGTACCTGTTACTACATCCATTGCGCATCAGCTTGGAAGCGTGCCGACGCGCTCTGCATGGACACGCCCAGGATGCGGTCTCCCCAAAGCCACAGGTCATCTACCTGTCAGAGTCTTTGAGTTCAAGCCTTGAGATTTTGAGGCTCAGGGCAGGGCTGGGGCGGTCAAGGCAGTGTAGGGTTTAGGTTGAGGCTTTTAGGGTTTAGAGCTTTGAGACCGAAGAGTTCGGAGTACTCGGGCTTCAGACTTAAGTGGAGCGCGGTTGCAAGAGGATTGTAAAACAAACTGGGCAACTTTGTGTTAATAGCTTCTAAGCCTGGTACCATTTGGCTACAGGGTGCTATTTGGCTACAGGGGCAGGGTGGCAGATAACGCCAATGCCAATGCCACACATACACGCTGGAACTGCAATAATACATACTCAACATTACTAACCTACTCTTCATCTACAGATACTTATAACAAGGTAAGTTCGCGGCACACCGCTCCAAAAGGCAGGAAGAAATGGCGGAACTTCTGTAGATCTGAGGGCTCCTGACATAAACATCCCCCAAAAAAGGCAAGTCTCATGACGGCACGCTTCTACTTACTGGTTCTTAGTAGGGAATAATCGGAATAAGGGAACTACTCTCTAGGAATTATATAGGGATCATGTTCCTGTAGTCCCTACTTTGAAACAGTAAGTCTATGGTGGTACATGGGTCCATGCCCTCCATAGCGGTCCATGTGAATTTTTAAGCCACAGTCAGGTTTAGTAGCTATAAGCCGAGTATCACCATATTCCGAGACCAAGGGGCTTATGGGTCATAGATACACATATGGGACCCCTAAACGACACCCTAAACCCTGAACTCTAAACCCTAGACCCTAATGTTCCCCAACTGGGTTTATTTAAATAGGGACCCGTATGATAACAGGAACTCCACTCCAGGGACCCATATCATAATGAACTTTTGGAAAAGCCTATATGCGTGAGTTAAAACTTCCCACAGATCTACGAGTAAGACCTGAGCCCCAGAAAGATGGGTTTTAAGGTACTCTAGATAAGGAGGACAAAATGTACAGGACTCCTTCAAACGGCAGGTCCAGTAGGGTCTCATAGTTTCAGACCCCACCATCTATCGTAACCCAAAGGGTCCAAGTTTTTGCCTTTTGCTCTTTGAATGGTAGATAGTTTGGGCCCAAATGGGTTCCACGCAGGTACATCGGGCCTTAATTACATACTATTTAGGTACTGGGACCTGTAAGGTAATAGTACTTGTACTAGCAATGCTACAGGCAGAAACTTCTAAACGTAGACTATGGAGCCTCCTTACCCTCAGGCCCCAAATAACCCAATGTAGGTAATGGTTGTAGATTTTAACCCTTATGTGGGCCAGTTTTCAGGTCACGTTTCACTTGATTTTCCTTTTAATTCTGCAGTTATTCTGAATATTTCTTCCCGTAAACTCTAAACGCTAATACCAAACCCCAAACTTCAAACCCTATTTCCTAGACCCCATAACGCCTAGGGTTAAGTAGGGCTTCCTTAACGGATGCTTCAAAGCCACATGCAGCGCATGATTTGCGCCACGGTCTGCGTCGTACCTGCAGAGAAGCAAATATCCGCCAAAGTTTGGCAAGGCTTGTTTTTTTTGGGTCTAGGGGTCTAGTAGTCTTCACAAACACGCCCGGAGAAAAAAAAAAAAGAGTATCACATGCATAGGGCATAGGGATACAACAAACAAGCTAAATCGTGCGATTGTTTTTGTTTTTGGAAGTGCGGGGTCAATCTCATGAATTGCGTAACAGTTGTTGTTCCATGTAATCTCCCCAACGACGTGACATGAGATTCACCCACAACTGGCGGTGGCCTTTAGGAATTGTAGGGCTGTAGCTGTATACATAAATTGGGATATTACCTCAGCGGAATCCCATAGGATTGACGGTTAGCATATTCAGCGGAAGCCTGTATAGTCGACGTTAGCCATATTATGAGCTATAGTCTAAACTCCTAGTATCCCCCTTAATAAGCCCTATAGTCGACCCCTATATAATCCCCTATCGAATCCCCCTTTAAGGAGTTTAGACTTCAGCTCATATTTCAACAGTTGCCAGACAAGACTTGCAGCGGCACCATAGGGAAAGGCACTCGACAGCCTCAAAGCCTTGGATGAACAGGGCTCAGCCTGAATTACTGTAGTATATGGGGGGCATGTAGGGGTTATATGAGCTATAGTCTTAGCTGCTAGCATCCCCTTTAATAACCCCTATAATGCTCCTTGTATAACCCGCCTTGGGGAGTTTAGACTATAGCTCATGTAGGGACAGATACATGGGGATAAACCATGCGCTATTGAGTTGAGGGCATACCAAATGCCTACTTGGATGCTCATGAGCTACAATCATAAGCCTAGGCCCTAACCCCCAAATCCTAACCCAAGTCCGAAGCCCTGAACTGCACATTTACATACCAGATGCCCTAGATATCCCGATAAATTTCCGTATATCCGTATAACCCCTACGAGTATATACTACAGCTATTGAGGACAGGCGCAGCCACAAAAGTCTTTCACGGGTTGATTGGGGTTCCGAATGTTTGCAAACATGGAGATTTGTCGATCTCCAAGGCGGGAGGGTGCCTAGTTTGGAAGTTCGGTGAATTGAGGGTCCCTTATCCCTAATCCCCAATACGGTAGCCCAAAATTTTCGGAAACCCGTCTATCGGGAGTGTCAAGGGACTCTGACAGCCCCAGCAGATACTACATACCCTAAACCCTAATTAAGCCCAAGTTTGTTTTAAGGAACATCTTGAGAAATTTGCCAAAGATGCTCGGGCTTAGGGTTTTAGGGTCTTGGGGTTAAGGGTTTAGGTTTGTTTGGCGCTCATGGTCCGTGAGCTGTTTGGTAAGTTGAGAAGTTGCTATCAGAAAATGTCTTATTAGGGTGTATGAAACAATGCTCACGGAAGGGTTATATTGTACTAGTGTCCACTATAGACTACAATCGCTCCAAGCCCCTCTGTGTGCCCAGGCTTAATTTCATTGTTCATCTCTTTTTCACTGGATTCTCCATCAGGCCTTTAGAACCTCAGCCTTCTAAGCTGGAATATCAATTATTCCTAACCCTTCTCAACTGAGCTACCACCCTAAACCCCTAGACCCTACCAGTTTCTCAAAATCATCCCCACAGAATCCCTAAGGGGATCCCGTGGCCTGAGTTCCCATGCCCCTTGAACCGAGGCCCTGGCCCTGTAGCGTCTTTGATCCTTGCAGGCATGGGATTTTTTAAAGGACTGTCATCCTCCGGTACGTAGCCGCCCTCAAAATTCATGTGGGTAGTTCCCAAAGTTAGAGTCCCATTTTGGGTACCCCAAAATTTTTGGTGCCTTATTCTAATATACCCAAAAGGGGCCCCGAATTGTGAGAATGTACACCCCTCTTCAAATGGGACTTTCTGAATTGTGGTGTTCCATGTTATGGTTGGGTGGCACAAGGCACTTCAAGGCATAGCAGGGTTCATACGAAGGCCTGCTAAGTCTAAGTAAGTGACGCGGCACGGCGCACTGATCCTCTACACTGGGCGTTGCTCTCCTTCTGAAAAATCTGAGAACTTGAAAGCCAAAAGCAAAAGGAGCCAGTCCCACATTCCTTGCCACAGCCCGCCAAAGGGTCCTTTACACGCCCAGAAGATTGGAAACTCGTGCTTCAAGCTTGAAGCACAGATAGTCCCCCTTAAGTAGATAGAATATGCCTTTGGGTATATCATAATAAGTTCCCCATATACCCCATATTCTATCTACTTAAGGGGGGCTATAGATCATGCCTGGCGGCTGCAAAGCAAGTTCGAAAGGAGCTCATGGGACCACGGCGGAAAACCATTCCAGGTCTCGGGCACCTGCTTCAGGGGTTTAGGGTTATATAGGGACAATGGAAAAGAAAATGGAAACTACTATTATATTGGGGTTTAGGGTTATATTGGGATAGGCCGTGCTTTGCTTGTGTCCAGGGTGCTTGCACATCACTTTGGGAACTAAGCAGCCGTTCCTGAAACGAGAGGTTTTGCAAGGATGCCCCGAAAACAGAGTCCCCTTACGGGAAGACATAGCAAGACCTTGCATGCGCGCTCTTTGCCTGCGAGTTTGCAACCTCGTTGGGCGGCCATGCTGGCTACATAGACGTCCCTACATGCAGCAATAAAACATCGTTTGTAGCTGCCTGTATACAGCTTGGAACGCCTTAGCGTTGCCCCAACCTCTAGGAACCCTGAACCCTGAAGGAGTGCGCGCATCCTACTGGGCCGTACATTTTTTGTTGCTGCGGTGTAAATCTTAGCATCTACATCACTAACAACACTGTTTTCGCATGTTGGCGTCCTTATCTCAGACACTTGTGTACTGTAATCACACATCGAAGAGTTCTTAACGGCCCATCCAACACGTCGGGAGTATGAAAATGTCGTCTGCCAATGTCGCAATGACGAAGCAATGACGAAGCTTTAGATAGCATAGCATATGCCCTGTGAGTCTGTGGGCGACAATGGTAACTTCTGAGATCTTCTGAGCAAAGTGTTGCCAAATGAAACATCGGAATTGGACAAGTGGCCCCTCTACAGCCCCAAAGGGGGAACCCCAGTGAACTCCGTAGAACCGAATACATCCAAGGGGTCCCAACAAATTCAATTTCAAGCTATCCCCACCCGAGGCATAGTGACTCCCTTGCACCCCTTGCAATGTCCCATGGCTCCCGAAACAGATCCTATGCCGTACTATCACCAAGCCCTGATGCCCAAACCCTGTAATCCCCCTGAATCCCAATCCGTAAACCCCAACCAGCCCCATATCACCAAGCCACTACGTATCCCACGATACCCCGACATATGGTACCATTCGATCTATTTTTTGGTTGCCGAACTTGGACACACAATGCATACACTCACCAATCTTCCTAAGGAACCCCATATACACCCACCAAGAACCATAACAGAAAGAACACTTCATATGCTTCTGGGCATATACACCCATGTACCCCATAGAAGCTAAAGTTAAAGTCTTAACTCCATGTAGCACCCTTAGCATCCTGTATAATACTCCCCCTACATAATCCCCTATATAACCCCCCCTGTAAGGAGTTTAGGCCCCAAACCCTAAACCTCAAACCCTAAATATCCTAATAGTAGTTTCCATTATCTTTTCCATTATTGCTATATCCCCTCCAACCCAATCCCAGCCCCCCACCCCCCCCCCCCTACCAGCTCATAGGCATCGCCGTGGGCTCATAGTAGAATGTCTCTGGCCTTGACTTGCTTCTTCTTGAAGTTAGCCTTGGGGCCAAAATCCTGAAGGAGTAGCGATGTTTCACAGGAACTTTGAGTCGGCTTGGAGCTGTTCTTTTCTTTTTTTGGGGGGGGTGCTAAGGTTTAAGCTTATAAGGCTTTCGGTGTCTGGTGTGTAAAGCTGAGGGCGTTTTAAGGCTTCAGGTGTAGGATTCAGGGCTTCGAGGGTTAGAGCGCGGAGTTTAGGACTTGGGCTTCGGTCTTCCCAGGCCGGGGGGGCCGAAGGGATCATGGTCCCCTTTAGGGTATATCGGTAGTTTTAGTAGCAGTCAAACGGTGGGATACATGATTTACGCCTGAGCGCTCTCGGGTGCTTTCCCCGAGGTTTTTTGGGACCTTGCAAAAAAAATCACCCATTTGGTTGGGGGCCTCTCGTGAGGCCACGCGCAGACCATAGAAAGACCCACGCAGATCAACAGCTGCAGGACAACCACAGGCCTGCAAGAGTTGGTTAGGGTTCAAGCGAAATCTGAAACCTCCAGCTGCAAAGATTTGAGGCCACGAGTGGTCAAGAGAATCCAAAATCTTGGTTGTATGCCACGGTTGGGGAACTTCTACCCTATTGGTAATCATGATTATTTCGGCTTCTCCCTAAACCTTAAACCCTAAACCTAAACAGAAACAATTAAACACAAAATCCTAAATCCTAAACCGCAAAGACCCAATTTGCCCATCCTCTGGTGGTCCTGCTTCCACCTCCCACTCTGCGAGGGCTGCCAGGGCCATGCCTCCGCTGGTAGAGCCACACGATTTAGGGTTTAGGGTTTGGGGTTTAGGGGTTTTAGGGTTTAGGTGTTTAGGGGGCAGGGTTCAGGGATTGGGAGTTTTAGGGTTTAAGGTTTAGGGCTTAGAGATTGGGTTTAGGGGTTAGGGTTTGGGGATTGGGGGTTTTAGGGTTAAGGGTATCCCTTCCTCATGGGTCCTCCTCGCCGCCCACCCTATACTACCCCCAAAGATCCCCGTGACCTAATTAACGCTGAATACGCCTTCCTAAGGGGTGGCAAAGAGGGGGTGGTTCGGCAACCTATAGTCAACGGGGCCTAATATTTTCGGCCTCCCTAAGACTTTCCCAAGGCCTCACTCACCTGGGGTCTCCGAACATGGGGGCCCCCTTGCGTGGAGTTTCTTTGGCCTTCCTTAAGGCGCGGTGGAGGGCTGGCTGTTTCATACCATTTCCATCGGCTGAAGTGCTGCTATGTTGGGACTAGGTTCTTAAACCACCCTTGCAGGTGAGGTCGCCAGGATTCGTTCAGGTAGGGTTTAAGGTTTGGCGGCTCGGGTTTCGGGATAAAGGTTTAGCGTTTAGTACATACGCCCTAAACCTCCAATGTTTTTGGAATCTCGTAGGGCTTACCCCAGCCTAGGTGGTATCAAGGTCTAGGGTTTAAGTCACAGAGTTGATGTGACGGGCTTTACCTTCCACAGAAGATCCAGTGCCTCCACTAGGTCCTTGCATGCCTCACTGAAGGCCACGCACCTTAATGTGATGCGGAGGCTTTTTTCAATAATTACCTAATATGCTGGTCCTTGTGTTACAGTACGTCAAATCAACCTCTCAAAAATAGCGCTGGTAATCATGTCGGCCTCTGCATCACATGACCCCTATACATGCCTTATATGGACGCAATTTCCAATTGATGTTCTTTCCAGCTATTTAACCCTAAACCCTGAGCCCTGAACCCTAAACCTTATCACTAAACCCTTTAAAAAGCACAGGAGTTGATCCTGAAGTTGCGCCAGAATCTCCATCTCCATCTCTTCCCCGCCAGGCAGCACCTCGTCGCAGGGTTCTGGAGTTTAGGGTTTAGGGAGTTGTCTGTTGATAACTCTAGGGTTTGGGGTTTAGGGATTGGGGTTCTGGACTGCGGTACTGAAAATTCTTTGAGCAGCCTAGGCACTAAAATGAGGAACCCATGTCTTATGGCTGTTATTGGGTCCGGGGTTTTATCAAATACTCACTTTATTATGTGATTAGGGGGCATCAGTTGAAGGGGGTCTATTTGGATTTTGGTCCCGAGCATGGAGAGGAAGCAGAGTACGATTACATACACTGTTTCGGAAACGCTTGGTATTCAGAAGTGCGCTTCAGACAAGCCAACATAGGCCAGAGATGTAATGCTATCTTACTTGTACCCCGGCCCCGCCTTTACCGGAACCCAGGGTTCTAAAAGAACCTGTGAAACTCGAGATGCAGGTGCCAGCTGTGGCGCTTTCTCTTTCCACCCAGGAACTGCTCAGGTCACTTTATTATACCCTCTTTTAACGAACCCCCTAGCACTTGGTCCTAGCTATGTCTGAACCGCCAAGATCAGAAAGAATACATTAATGTGAAGGGTGCCAGGAAGTAGCGACAAAGAAGTGGCTGTCTTAGGGAAGGCCGGCAGCATCAGCACTCACAGAAATCCTGCAGTGACTGCGGTGCTTCTACCGCACTGCGAAGTCCTCGCAAACACGCATCAACCACAGGTAACGCCTTGGCTACCACATGTCACTGTATATGTAATGTAATCTTTATGCATTCGGCTCTGTAGGTATTTGTTCAAATCTAAACCCTAAACCCCAAATGCCTGTCCCCCTAGTATCCCCATTAATAACTCCAATGATGCTCCCATGTAGACTCCCCTGGAAAACCCTCCTGGAGGAATGTAGTCTATAGCTCATATACACATCGACATGGCTTCAGCATCCGAGCCACTTCGTGGAAGAGCTCTAGCCCTTCGAAGGGCACCTGCAATTCGGTTTCGGACGGAGGTTTTGGGGACACGAGCAGAAGGATCCACAGTTATGAGGGTAAGGGCTTGGTGATGGGGATTAAACCCTAAACCCTAAACCTTAAACCCTAAACCCTGCAAGGTGGCCAAGAAGTACCAAAGAACCCACTGCCTGAAAGCGTGCCCAAACGCACCTGAGTCCTGTCCCCAACCTCCATGACAG